AGACCCGGTCTCTATACAAAAATATTAAAAAGGGCTGGGGATGTGGCTCAGTGGTTAAGCACCCCTGGTTAATCATCCCCAGTACCAAAATAATAATAATAATAATAGCAACAATAATATAAAACTTATACACACTGAAATATTTTCTAAACCAGTACATTCAATTATTTTTAATAAAACACATTTATAATTTAAAAAGCAATGTGCAATGTAGAAAATAGGTATAATAAAGACAATAAAAGTCACTAATCATCTCTCCACCCAGACATTTATATTTTGCAGTAAAGAAGAAACTGAGTGAACTCTTCTCTAAGTAAACTATTTTGCATGGAATAATTTTAGATTTACATGAAAGTTGCAGAGTGAATACAGGGTTCTCGTAAGTCTTCACCCAACTTCCCCTAATGTTAACATCTTACATAACTCTGGGACATTTGTCAAAAGTAAGAAATTAACATTGGTACACTGTTATTAGCTTAAGCCATAAAATCTATTCAGATTTTGCCTGTGTGTTCACTAATGGTCTTCCAGTGGCCTGGGATCCCGCCCAGTGTATACATTGGTTTGACTTGGTTTTTAATAAGTCTCCATGCTCCCCAGGTATAATGTGTAAACTACTAAGAAAATACTGTATTTATATTATTTGGTATTTTCTTAGCAGCAGAAAAAAGCACTAGATATTCATAATTCTTCTGTTCACAGTGGGGGAAGGTTGGGAGTTTATTTTGAGTTGTGTGTGCCAGGACTCCAGTGAATTCCCCCCCACCAGAAGATCAGGTGTGAGGCTGTAGGGGACAGCTTAGATGCAGCAGTGGTTCCCTGCTTGGCAGAGGTGTGGGGTCCCAGAGTCCCTAGTGCTTAACCTGAAAAGAGGTCACTTGTTATTTCATCTTTCAAGGACGAAAAGGGTAAGTGAGGACAAGGACTCCGAAGCACACAAAGGGCCAAGAAGACTGCTGCAACCCTTCCTTCCTTTGTCTCTCTTCCTTTTCCCCTCCCTCTTCCCTTCTCCCTTCCTCTCCTGCTTTGTTCAATCACTCAGCAAATGTTCCTCATCAGGCACCGGGCTATCAGATGCTGACGATTCTCCTGTGAACAGCACAGGCACTATCTCTGCCTCATGGAACCTGACACTAAGAAGAGGAGGGGAGGCTCCTTCCAGTGACCCCAGCAGTAACTACACAGTTTTAGCTTTGACTAGTGCCATCCGAGTGAGGCACCCAGATCCAGCAGACCTAATCTGGATACCAAGGAGGGTTTCCAAGGGGAAGTGACATTTAAGCTGAATGATGGATATGTGCCCTTCAGACAAAGCAAAAAGAGCAATCCAGGCAGAGGGTACCACTTGGGCAAAGACCTGGAGGTAAGTAAGAATGTTGACGTGGTTTGTCATGCAAAGAAGGAGGCCCCTAATTGAACTGAAAAAGGAAGCTCTCAGCTCACAGTGCATTTAAGGGATGTTTACTTAAGAGAATAGAAATCTAACCAATAATGCTTGCCAATAGAACCCCAAAGCCCCACCCTAGCCTCCAATCTCTCAATCCCTGTGAAAACCATTCCTGGACCTCACTTTGATTCTCCCAGGTTACATACCACCTTCTGCTCAGCCACAGGGTGGCCCAGTTGGTAGTCCCTAAGCTCTCCCAATCACTCTGGTGGAGTGGATGGGGCTCTGCCCTCTTTGCCTGGACTAAGTTCTTGGCATTGTCAGTCACAACTTTATTCAGTGCCTGGGGGGGCTCTTCCACAGCTGCTTGGAGGTCTTCTGCTCTAGCTTCAACCTCAGCTTTGAGTATTGTGACAGTATAGCCCTGCCACCCACTTAGTCTTCTCAAAGAAAGACATCCCCCCACTTCCTGCAGAGTTCCATAGACCTGGAAGCTTTATCTGTATGATTGCTGCTGAGGGTCACTTGGCGGTCAACTACCAGGAGATGGCTGACTCTCTCAGGGAATGTGTGGAAGGTCATCAGAGTCTCCCATGTTTGGCAAGAGACTGGAGATAGAATTGTGGAGCTGCTGGCAATCTCGGCAACAGAAATAACACGACCCATGCACTGCTCCTATGATGAATGTGATGTTATCTGTCCTGGCCCTGTTATATCCATTTTGATCTCATCCACCTGTGGAAGGATTGGATGGGACAATGAGAGGAAGATCTGCTCTTCAGACCTCCTAATTCCCAAGGCCACACCAGAAGCAATATCCCAAATTGCAACTGGGGTAGAATCTGACAAGAAGTTGGATTCAAGTCAGCCCAAACTATGACATGTCCACTACAATAATTTTGTTGGTCCTCATGACTGCCCGATGTGACTCAGACCTATCCTAGGCATTGAAAGCCAAGGAATATGACGCAGAACCTTCTTGTCAAGAGTCTGCTTTGACAACCTCTCATGTTCTTGGCTTGGAGATGAACACATGGAAACACACTAGTTACTATGTGTGTTGAAAGGACCTCAAAGCATGTCTGTGCTGGATGCACCAAGGAAGGGATGGTTAACTCTTCAAGGGGAGAGAGGGGGTGGTTTGTAAAGCTTGATTGCAGAGGTAATATGGGAGTTACGTCTTGAAGGAAGGTTGTTTGGTTGGCAGGCAGTTGCAAGCAAGTTCAGGCAAGATATGAGAACATTCCAGGCAGAGAGAACAGCAAATGCAAATGCATGGAGGTGTGAAGTAGGCACAGTGTTGAGGGAGTTGTAAGTCATTTGTTATGGCTGGAATTCCCAGCTTAAGTAAATTCTGGCAAAACAATCAAGGCTGCTCAGAGACGGAGAGCTAGGTCAGGCCTGGGACTTTGGTTTCATTCTCTAGATGTGCACTGTCTAATATGGTAGTCCCTAGTTGTAAGTGGTGATTTAAATTCAAATGAGCTAAAAATAAAATACAGTTAAAATATCTAATACCTTAGACACGCTACCCACGTGTCAAGTGCTCAGATGGCCATAGATGGCCAGGGGGTACCATATTGGATGGACATGGTGTAGATATTGAACATGTCTATCATCACAAGAAGTTCTATTGAATAGTGAATTCCTGAACATGGGGGACCACAGGAGAACTTTAAGCAAGGGAATGACAAATCCATATTTATATTCCGTGGAGTCTTGCCTTGTGGCCCCTTAAGGCTGGAGCCAAACAGAAGACTAGAGATCAGTTGGGAGATGATTGAAACAGCTGAGCCAAAAGTCTGTTGTCGTAACAGAGGATTTGTCTCCCTTTTCCTGGAACTTGTTATTATGCAAAGCTGAGTGGAGAATTATTCAGGTGACTAAAGTTTCACTTCCACCCTACCTTGGAAGATAGGAGTCCACAAAGGATAAGCTGGTGAATCCAGGCAGCCAACCCAATGGGAACAGATCTCATTTCATCTCCAGTAGGTCCTGGAGCTTGTGTTATAAACCTCAAATTTACATCACAAGACACAAGAACCCCAATCTCCAGTCATCATATGCCTAAGACCTACCTTACTCATACCAAGCAGGGAGAGGAGACCCAACTTTTGTTACCAGGAAAGTCAGGTCAGATGCTCGATTGAATCCCCAGTTGCATTTGTTCTTAAACACCAAAGCAGCCAGAAGTTGGGAGGTGAAGAAAGCCAGAAGATCATCTGGATACTAATAAACACGCTGAGGGCTTCTGTTCGGTCTTCCTAGCTGCTTGCAGTTGTTGACATGGGAAATGGGGATATCGACACATTTTTTGCTCTGAGTGTAATTAACGACAATGTGCCCAGTGTGCGGTAGACTCAGGGAGAGCACCTGACAGAGATCTGCCTGAGGTTTCTGTGTTCTGAGGGTGTGCCCACGTGAACTGCAGCAGAGCGTGTGAACATCACCCTTAGGTTCCCACAGAGTCAGAAGCGGGATCTGGGAGTCAGAAGACCTGGTTCAAGTCCCAAACTTGACAGTCAGCTGAAAACAGCCTTCCTTACAATACTTATATCCCACCAACCCACAGCCCTTCCTATACCCTAGGCCCTGTAGCAAGCCCTCTAGAAGTATCCATTTAATCCTCACAACAGCACAGGGAGTCAGCATTATTATTACCTATACTTTACAGAGAGGAAATTGAGATATGGAAGTTAATCCACTTGCCTGTGCTTTCATAGCTACAAGTATCCAAACGCAGTCTCCTCTGGTTCCCTGCCTGTTCACCATGTGCTCCTGAAAAGCACACAGCATGGGCCAAAGCCCTGTGGATCCCCAACAGCCCTTCAGCACTGGGTGCATAGATTGCGAGTGCTGTGATCACTAAGCTTGTTATGGTTTAAATATGAGGTGTCCCCCAAAAGCTCATGTGTAAGGTTAAATGATTAGATTATGAGAGGTATAAGCTAATTAGAGGCTTAATCCACTGATAGGGATTAACAGGTGGTAATTGGGCAGGTGGGGTGTGGCTGAGTAGATAAGTTACTAGGGGCATGACTTTGGGACATATATTTTGGTCTTGGACGAGTAGAGCTCTCAGTTCCTGGCTGTCACATTCTCAGCTGCTTTCCTCTGTCACATTCTTATCCCCATGATATTATAATACCTCATCTTGGGCCCAGAGGTTTGAGATCATCCATTCATGGACTGAACCTCGGATTCCATGAACCAAAATAAAACTTTTTGCTCCTCTAAGTTGTTCTTGTCGGATCTTTTGGTCACAGAAATGCAAAGCTGACTAAAAACAATGAGGATGGTGATCCTCTAAGGGGGAACAACAAGAGCTCTTTTAGGGAGGGTCTGGCACAACCACTCCAAAACACACCAAACTCTATGCTCTTTATTATCACCCAAACCAGGAGATCTTGCTACCTACAGAAGCAGATGTGGCCACAATGGGAATCCCTTTCCCGGTGCCTTTTACGCCCTTGTATCTCGAGCTTCCCTCCCACCTCACGTAGAGAAACACCTCTTTGATAAGCTGTTGTAGCGCAGGACATGCCGGCATAAAGTTGGCCGTGCAGGCCTGGACGCCTGCAGGTTTCCCAACATGGAGCCAAGCACTGCCTACCTGTGTGCCATCCCACGCAGCTCCCACTGCAGCCAGCTGGCCTGCGCCTGTGTCCTCACCACCAGCTCCAGTGGGTCAGCACACTCACGTCCAAGAGTGTTTTCAACTAACGAACACACTTCCCAGGGGGGCATCTGCTGCCGAGACCCGGCCCATCTGAAAGACATTACCTACCAAACTCTGGCCCAGGATCAAGATAAGAATTCTAGAGCTTAGCATCTGCAGAGCTTGTTTGTTTTTATTCTTTCACTGGCCGATCCTGGCAATTTGTATAAGACGCTTTATATAATGGAAAAATCTAACCTGCTGGCTTCAGGTCTAACTTGATCTAAGGCCTAAAAGGGTCCTATCAGGATTTGTTTTTTTTCTTAGCGTCTCGGCTCTGCTCTTCTTCCATCTGTGGCCATGTTCTTGAACTCCTCATTGTGGCTTCCTCCACATGTCCTTCATGGCTGTATCTGAAGGCGCTAGATGGCTGCACAGCCACTGATTTCAGGGTCAACCTCCACAGGAAAGAGTGAAAAAAATCTCAGGGTTTTCACAAAAGTGCCCAGGATTCATTTTGATTGAACCGGCTTGGGGCGTGTGCCTGTCCCTGAACCAGTCATTGTTGTACAGAGGATGAACTAGCCTCCTGGAGAATTAAGAGAGGGCAGATTCCCCAAACAAAAATCAGAGAACAAAGGGGGAACTGAGGCGGAGTAGTGAAACCAGACACAGCCATCAGGTAGATGGCAGAAACTATATCCAATGAGACTAAAAAAAGGTAAGGTGATGTCTATAGGGCCACCCAAGAAGAATATGACAGAAGTGGGTTTGACCCCACTCTGAACATGTGATCTGACCTAACCCAAATATCTGTCTTAATTGTAGCTAGAATGCCCATGGGATCACGAAGGCTTTGCAACATTGTGTAAATGCAGAGGCTGTCCTTGGGCTCTCTCTTAGCTTGTGACAAAGCCTGCTATTGCCTATCCATTCACTGTCCTCATTGTCTTGCTCTTGTCTGGGTCTCTACCAAATCATAGCAACAGACTTCTGACTCACCCTGCCTTTAGCTCCACAATCTTCTTATTCACTGCAGAGAGAAGTTTTTCAATTTTTTTTCCTTGCCTGGAGCTGTTTAACACAGAATGCTCTTAAAGATGGTCTCCATGCTGGCCTCTTCGGGCCCTTCCCCTGCCATCTCTAGCTCCTGCTCTGCCTTTAGCATACCAAGAGGATGCTGTTCCCCAATGCCAAGACATGGTTACCTGAGGTTGCATCATTATCTGAGCTCACACCATTAACTGAATGACTCCTTTAAGAATAAGTAATCCTGTTAAATGGGGAAATATGATTCTCACCGTCTCTAAAACTGCTCCAGAATCTATGGGATACCATCACTGGCATTGTGCTCTGCCCAGAGTGTTCCTCAACTGCACACTCCCCTCTGCCGAGCTGTCATACTGATCCTAAACAGACCCACCACAGCTTAGATTTCATCTCCCCCAGGAAACCTTTCCATTTCTACTTTTAGGAGCACCTCCATGTCCTTGTGGGGAATCCACCATGGTATGTGGTCTTGTTAGAAGGGTAACTCCAAAAGAGCCTCATGGCCTATAAACATGAGAAGCTGATGGTCCTACTGAGCCCATCCCCACAAGGCCAAGGGCAGAGGTATGTCCTATGCTTGGCCTCTGTGATGCTTCTTTTGGAACTCTCCAGATGGAAGCCATGGGTGAAAGTCTTTCATCCCATTAGCATTGACCATATCCTTCTGCGGTTGGACCATTCATTCCTATAGTCCTTCTTCATGGCTCCTCCCTCCAAGCTGCCTTTGTCCCTACCTGTTCCCAAAGGGATTCTACCACTTGCTTATAATTCTATGGTTCATTCTACTTAAACTCAGTTTTGCTGCTATTAATTAGACAAAATCCATTTCTGTTGCCTGCGATCAAAGATCCTTGACTGGTATGCTTTATTATTTTCCCACTGCCTTCCCCTTCCCCCACCCCTTCCCAGTGTCTGGCTCGGAGGAGACACCAGTATCTATTGCAGGAAAGCCTTGTAAACTCGGCCCTGAGGGCCACATCCTTTTCTCACACTGCAGGGAGAACAACTCTGTCACGCAAGCAAAGCTTGGTCCACTTCCTCCTAGACCCCTCCCCACTGCACAGTGTGGACTTTGCCTTCCTTCCAAACAGCTTTGCCACACTCAGAGGTAGAGATATTCTCCTGCATCGTCCCGGTAGGGCCAGTGCCTTTCAGGGTTTCTTCTCAACTGTCTATTCTGTTTCTCAAATTCTCCTTCTTCCTCACTGGGTGCTGTCAACATCCAATGACTTGAAATAATCTTAAAGTCCTGTAGTTTAGTAAGAAATCATCAGATACCCATTTCCCCCCACACTATCCTGATTTGGGATTAGGTTACTTTCAGTAAACACCCAAATTCCAAAAGAAAATATGAACTTTTATCTGCCTATATATAGAGAGAAATTTACTTGGCATATACATTTTTTTGCTCTAGGCCTAACAAAACTTTTGAATATTCTGGACTGACTTTCCAAAATGAAATCCAGGTGATCATTAAATGCAGGGCCGTTGCTTCATTTGGAGGTAGGATAGGTGTTTATCTTTTATTTTTAAGTTTAATATATTTTAATCATAGTGATGCAAACATACAGTAAGTAATAAAGAGGAGAAGAAAAAGCTTATGTGAAAAGCAACAGTATCCTATTCTACACACCTCAAGGTGGTCTCTCTTATCAGTATCTGCTTAATTTTTCTCTATTTATTTGACTCTGAGATAAAGCTTTATCATAAGTATACCTTTTTCCTGGGTCTTGGATCAGGTTCCCCAGAAGAAAGTCTAAGATGGGATTCAGGCCATGTGAGAGGGTCTGAGGAGGACAGGAGGGAAGGAAAAAGGATGAGGCCAGGGATGAACAGAAAGATGGAGTCTCAGCTAGTGTTGGCTTCAGCCTGTCCCCATTGGGAACTCTGGACATGAATTTTTCCTGAGTCATTCACACCTTGAGACAAAGGAATTTCAGTCTATCTTGGGCTCTGGGCTGCTGTGAGTGATGGGGGAAGGCACATAATTTCCATGACAAATCAGCCCTATAGGAGGGGGTCAGTTGTAAACTGTTTATATCCAATGCACCCAACAGATGGGGGATGGTGCTGTGGTGTGGGTGATGGAGACCAGGGTGCAGCATCAATCATCTAAATCACCTTCCTTGATGATTTCTTTGGAATGTATTCCAAGAAGTAAGATTATTAGATTAAAAAGTAGAACATGCATATCACTCTTAAAGCATGTTTCAAGAGGAGACATGTGCAGGAAATTTAGGCCTCCAACCCAACATTAATACTTCATCAACACTTCATTGTGAGTTAATCTATCAAAATGACTGCTGGCTGAGACAGACGCCTCAGTGGATAAAATGGAATACAGTGTGGGAAGTCTGGGGAGGATAAGAGCACTATCTCCCAGGCATGGCAAGGGACTTTTGCACAGGACATTGGAGAGGGGAAGCAAAGGGAGGGGAACAAGCAACAAGGAGGAGAGTTGCTGATGGGATGAAAGAATTGGAGAGTTGGTGGGGGCTGGGGCACATGAACCCTCATAGGAGAGTAGGAGAGTCTGGAGGTGTCTTCATATTTATCAAGAAATAAATATAATGCCCTGTTCCTGTCCTTCATTTGACAAACATTTTGGTTTTTATAAAGAATTTCAGCTGGGTGTGGTGGTGCACGCCTGTAATCCCAATAGCTCAGGAGGCTGTGGCAGGAGGATCTCAAGTTCAAAGCCAGCCTCAGCAACACAGCAAGTCCCTAAGCAACTCAATGAGACCTCATCCCTAAATAAAATATTTTTTTAAAAAGGCTGGGGATGTGGCTCAGTGTCTCTGGGTTCAATCCCTGTTATTAAAAAAAAAAAGAATTTCAAAGAATTTAGAAATGTACAATATAGAAATGTACAATATGCCCCTTTCTACTCCATACCATAAATTCATATTTTTTTAAAAAGGCTGGGGATGTGGCTCAGTGTCTCTGGGTTCAATCCCTGTTATTAAAAAAAAAAAGAATTTCAAAGAATTTAGAAATGTACAATATAGAAATGTACAATATGCCCCTTTCTACTCCATACCATAAATTCATCCGCTAGGAATAACCACTGTTAATAGTTTGCTTATAATAAGTACTGTTTTGTTGTTTTCCTCCTCTCTTTGAGGGAGATAGATTGTTCCTTCTCCTTTAGTTTAAAGGTGTTTTCTACTTTCTACACCCCAGAGTGCAAACAATAAAGATAAAGGACTCACATCCTAAGCAAAGTGTTCCTACCAGGCAACAGGTCCCCTGGAGGCTCAGGCAAGGGACTTGTCCTCATGGCTATTATCAGGGGACCTGGTGCTTTGGGCTCTGTTTAGCTCAGACATCTCTTGCATTTCCTTCTGTACCCTCATAGCCCTTTTCAGAGCAAAGGGACAAGTTCACTAACATTTCTCCCTGTGTTTTTCTCTGCCGTGGGTCATCAAAGATATGCCAAGATTATCTCCAGTTTCCATTTCTCAAAATGCAAGTGTCAGAGACGTTGCTCTGTTTTCATTCAAACTGAAATAATGCACCAACTTGTTTAATCTGAGAGAGCCAGAAAGGAAATTCCTGTTTACCCCAAATCCAAATAATAAGGAAACCCAAAGAACCGGATGATGTTCTGCATGTCACTTCTTTAAGAAAATGACAAGATACAATGCAAACAGTTTGAATTTGAGACTGAGTTCCCAAAGCAGTCGCCAGGGCAGGCTGTAGTCTATTCTTGCTCACTCTAGTGTCTGCAGGACCATTTAAGACAATCAAACATTAAGAAAAAGAGTTCCAGGGTTTCTGTTCATTTTCTGTTCCTATAACAAGAAAACCAACGCGAAGCTAAGTAATTTATAACGAGGACAAGTTTGTTTGCCTCATGGACCTGGAGGTAAGAAGGTCCAAGATAATGGCGCTGACCTCTGCTCAGCATTGAGTGAGGACTGCATCCCAACAGGGTGGAGGGCATCCCATGGTGGAAAAAAGCAGTATCCTAGCTTGGATTCTTCTTCCTGTTCTTATAAAGTCACTGATACCATCCTGGGGGGTGCCACACTCATGAATTTACCTAATCCTAATTACCTCCCAAAGGCCTTATTTCCAAATACACCATTGACTAATGAATTTGGGGGTAAAGTTTCCAACACATGAAATAGGGGGACACATTCTAGCGTTGGCAGCCAGGCCGTGGCCCAGTGAATCCCATAATCCTTTTTGTTTCAGGCAGTGAGGACTTGGTAAGTAGATGCATTCTTGAATTGAATTCATTGAAAAGCCACCACATTCCTGGCACAGCACTAAGCTCCCTGCAGGATCCCACATAAGTAAAATAGTCCAGCTGTTTGATTTCGAGGGCACACGCTGCACATGTTCCTACCACAGCACAAGTAACCATTGTGCAGAGCAGCAGAGGTGCAAAGACAAGAGAAGTTCAAAGTGTTAGAGGAGCTGCCTGCAGGTACTACACAGGGGCACATGGAGAGCTTCCAGGGAGAGAAAGGGTATTTATATTGAATTCTAAGGATGGGTGATTATTTTACAGGTGGGTGTAGAGGAGGATGTGGGAGGGTGAGGGTTGACACTTCAGGAGGGAGAAGTCAGGAGCAAAGATGTATGGGCTTCCATTGTAGCTATATGAAATAAGGTGAAATTTTACACACAGGTTGAATGAAAAATTGTTCAAGAGGACCTATGGTAGGATTCCATCTTACAAAAAATTTACAAAGAAAAACTGAACTGTAGCGATTGGGGACTCACAATGAGCAATCAGTGAATAAAGAAAACCCAGGCATCTGGATCATAAAGCCCAACAGAATAGTTTTAAGAGGGAGAGAAACATTGTGTCAAGATTGCACAGTGTTTATTCTCTAAAAATTCATTCAGCTTTATGGGTATGCTCTAGGCACTTTTATATTTTTAAAATTTACGATGGCTTGAAATGAGCTCTTCCTTTTTATGCTCTGCCAAAGATGTGATAGCTCCTGTGTCCCGTATCTCCTTGAAGGATCTGTCACCTTTGGACTTTAGTTCACTTGATTCCCTTGTGACCTTAGCTATCTGATGGTCCCAATTCAACTTGTGATTTTGTAGATCATCTGGATTTTCCCCTCCCCACTGCACAGTGAGGACTTTGCCTTCCTTCCAAAAGGATTTTCATGTTGCTGGGGTGGGAGTTGATGTCCACTTGTGGCTTTCTACATTGGAAGGGAAATTTTTATGTTTTAACTCACAATAAAAGAATTTTTTATTTTTAAAGAAGGGAAAACCCAACAGTATTGGTCAAAAAGTATGACTGGACAAAAAGGTACCTAAAGGATTGTGGGGGAAGTGAGGTTGAATGTGGGCCTGGAAGGCAGGGGACTTGGAATGTCAGGCTGGGGAATGTGGTTGAGTTTGGAAGGCCCTGGGAGCAGCTGTAGGTTTGTCAGCAGGAGAAGAAAGAGGGTAGGGAACACAGCCACCTGCTCAGGGGCAGGACAAGGGTCCAGCTGAGCCAACACAAAGGCCTGACAAAAAAGCAGCAGAAATGGGAGGGAAGGGAACAGATTTGAGCAGCAGAGACGGTTGATGGAGAGGACGAGTAAGAGCTTCAGTGATAAAAGCCTAAGAGAGTTGGTGGGGAACATGCCTTGGTATTGCCAGTGATGGTCGGGGCAACATCTACACCAATTTGGTGCCAGGATAAGGGTATCTACGAAGAGTTTTTTTTTTTAATATTTATTTATTTTTTAGTTTTCGGCGGACACAACATCTTTGTTTATATGTGGTGCTGGGGATTGAACCTGGGCCGCACGCATGCCAGGCGAGCGAGCTACTGCTTGAGCCACATCCCCAGCCCCTACCAAGAGTTTTAAATGAGAAGAAATATTAGAACTCCCTCCCAGAGCTGCCAGGGATTAATTAAGAAAGCATGGAAGGACTCAGTAACAGGTAATGTTCTGCTTGGAAGGTGAGGAGCAGGTGCTACAAACAGGCTTTGTGTATAATTAGTTTATCCCTGGCATTCATATTTAATGTCCTGTCTTTTACTTTACAACCAATCAGAACCATTCAGTGGACTTCCGCCCACCGGCTGTTGCCAGCTATCTCCTCCTTTATCTATCACCTCTTTATGCCCCCGTGAGAACAATGAGTTTAGATCCATAGAGCCCTGGGGGAGGGGGGGACAGTCTTTTGTCCTATCAAGTTATCAACTCCCCACGCTCTCTTCTGGTAGATTCTACTCATGTTCTTCCTCTCATGCTGAAGTATAAGCAATAGCATTTTTGATTCTGTGATTTTAGAGATTCCCAACCCTAATCCTAAACCTCACTCCAGTGTTTTATATTTGATTTCTTTGAGTATCGAGTGCCTTAAAACTTATATCAAAAATGCAAGCCAAAACAATGTGGGAAGTTTCTAGAACTACACTGAATTAAATTCTTCAAAATACAAATGCAATAAGTAGAAATTTGCTGGGGGAGTGTTTTATTTTCAACATTCTGGGTTTGATTTGCAAAAAAAATGTGTTTCACTGCCCTGTGGCAGGGAACTGAAGAACATTCCTAACTGTGCTCTGAGGATTCCCAGGGCGCTAGTGTACTGGTGGTAATGGGGGTGGGGCCGTGGAAAATAATTCCACCCTTTGGTGAGTCTCAGGGAGGCATTGGCCAGGAAAATTTCACATGAGGACCAAATGGATCACTACAGGGAGCTGTAGGAATACAGGGTGGGAATATGGAGCAAAAATCATTGGGCATACATGGGTTTGTTGGTGAAGTTTGAATAGTTGGGGTCAGTGGTATCCTGGTCTGTCTCCTCCAAACCCCCATGCAGGTGCTAGGGAATGGAACAGGACCTTAAAAGCCCTGGACATACAACTTCCTTGACTGTTTTCTTCCAATCTTCTTTATGTCAGCACAGCAATCATGGCCTCCTCAGAAAATGAAGGACATATCCTGAGTCAACCTGTGGAATTTCAAAGGACCAGGACCTTCCCATGCTGCCCCTTGGAACTGGTAGAATTACCTTCCTTTATCATGTACCAAGCTTTTGTTTTCACTAGTCCTAAGGGTTAAATTTTTCCTTAAGATTTTTTTGATGAATAATTTATGTATACATTAATTGGTGCAAAGAGTGCTGATCTTCAATGTTCAAGGCACTGAGTTTTTGATATATGTGAAAATAAATGAAGATCTCCTAATGAAAATAAGCACAGAGTGTTTGTTCAGAGCTTGCTACAGCAAAGGGATCAGCACTAGCACTGGCCTTCAGCAGAGACCCCAAGGTGGGGCAGAAGAGTGGTAGAGTTTTAGGGTAGAAAAATGGGAAGGCTTCAAGTGGTGTTCTTTCCCTGATTGGAGGTTGTTGACGTGGGTTGCTGGAGTTGAGCTAACTAGAAGGCAGGTATCCTCTGTGGTTGCTTAGGGCAGTATATTTGGTTTTCTCCAGTTGGTCCTGAGACAGAAGGGTTGGAGCAAAACAGAGGGAAGCTAGCAGCCAGTGGGCAAGTCCTGACTGTTCTGGGCCATTTGCTTCAGAGATTGTGATTTGGCTTCCTTGGCTTTTTATGCAAGTCTGAATTCTATTATCTGTGGTCTGGCTATTGTCCATTTACATATTCAGTCTCTTTCATGTGTATATTTACATGTCACCATCACCCAGAGCAAAGTGAATTTTGGTTTGTGTGGTTTGAAGTTATTCATTTGGCGATTCTGAGCACGTAGAGTACAGAAAATGTTAAGAGATACTTCCTATGTACAGAAGCATTCAGGGAGGCGATTGTTCAACGTGCTAAGACAATACAATGCACTGCGTCCAGGAAAAAGTGCTTTCCAGATGTTTCTGCAAGATACAACCTTTCATTCTGTTATTTTTAAGCTTCTCTGATCTGAGGGAAGAAGAGAAAGTGAAGGGAAGAGAACAAAAAGTGGAGGGTGCTAAAAGAGAAGGGATCTCAGAATCCTAGTAGGAAGGGGTCCACAAATAGAAGGTCTAGAGATGCTGCCTAAAGCCCAGGAAAAGAAGTTTGGGGTCAGAGGGAAGAAGAGGAGCATTCAATGAAGGAACTTGAGGTGGGAGATTTCTCAGGGCCAAAGATGTGGCTGCCATCCCACCATACTTCTTCAGACTGCCTGCTTCTCTCCTGCTTCCAGGGAAATGGGATTCTGAGATGGCCACAAACGCTATCCAGGAAGAACAAAACAACAAAAATTTCCCAGCCTCCCTTGCGGTCAGGTAAGATCACATGACTACGTCCTGACCCGTGAGATCTGAGGAGAAGTGACCTGTGGAACTTCCAGGTGGCTCTCTTAGCTGCTAGAAGAGTCTCTCCTCTTCTCCTTTCCTACCAGAAGTTTGACATGGAATCTTGGACCATCTTTTTGAGGGCAACACCATAGGGATACTGGAAGAAAAAGACTGAAGAACTCTGGGTTCCTCCAGCCTGTCCTGGACTCCTATGTCCAGGTTGTTTGAGGAGACAGACGTAACTCCATCTTGAGTTGCTGTGACTTGGGCTCTCACACTCCCTCGCTATTGTCTCGGATGCTGTCCTCTGTCCTTCTACTCAAATGGTCTGTCGTCTATAGCAGAATTTGATGCTTTGCCTCCCAGTACTCCCCTTGGAATGTGCACGGAGACAAGACTGCTGGTCTGGTCCCTGAGGCATCTATTAGGAGCTGCCAAAGGGGAAACAAAGCAATCACAACAAAAGCCATGTGTGCCTCTTGGCTCTGGCTCCATGGCATCCACCAGCAAGCTGTTACAGTTGAGCCTCAGACTTCCCCACACTGGGATCCAATCTCCCTAAAGACTAATGGTCCAAGAGTACCATGAGGCTGGATTGGGGGTTTCACTGCTGTCCTTTCTTATACACAGCGTGACAGCTTTGAGGCTCAGGACAGGACACTTTTTTTTTTTTTGTTCCTGAATGGAAGCATCTGTGCTAAACATCATGGTTCTGCTCCAAATCCTCTTATAGTCATCAGCTGTGTTGATAATAATGTGGGTTTATTTCTTTTTCTTTCTTTCTTTCTTTTTCTTTTTCTGTCTCTCAACAAATTGACCCTGGGACAATTCATTCCAGGACACCTGGTGAGCCTCAAGGAGGCCCAGCTCCCAGCATGCCTAGCATTCGTAGAACAAGGACTCCTTACTTTTCTGGACGATTGCACAATTAAGTTAACATTCACAAAACTTCCTAAGATGTTCTGGACACAAGCCATTTACCCACCACGTTTCACTGTATCCCAGCCGGCCCTTCTATTGCTGCTCACTGGCGTTCTCCGATTCCTTGTCCTGGTTTGGGCAGAGGAGAGACCAAACAGGGGTCCTTTACTATTTTTCTCTTGCCTGATTAATGATTGCCAGACTTGCTGTTCTCAAGACAAGAAATCATTCCAACTGAATCGGCTTTGTGTTCCGAGCATTTGCCTTAAAGGATGCCAAATCCATTCTTGACCCTAATTTTATGAAATATGCTTCAATAATTTTCTACTTGGCGAATTAAAATGATGCCAGGACTGCTGCTTGACCCTCTCCTCCTCACTATAACTTGATTAAGAAGCATTCATGTATCTTCAAATAAATCATATATTTATTCCCAGACTATTATCCTTGGGGTCACCCAAGGAGCTGCCGGGACCTGAGTCTAGTGCCAGAACTCCACTGAAAGGGACTAAGATGGACTGTGGGCTGAATTTTAAACTTAGAACATTCCCAACAAAAGAATCTTGGCTTCTCCTCCTCTCTCTCTCTCTCTCTCTCTCTCTCTCTCTCTCTCTCTCTCTCACACACACACACACACACACACACACGCACACACAACTTGGTCACTAAGTATTCTTGTCCCTAACTTCCTCCCATGGAACTCATTCCCCCCACACCATTCTTTCATATCCTTTTTCCAGCATATTTGGCTAAGGAGCGGCTCCATTGAAGAGCCTTGGTGCTCCAGCGTTTGAGTGAGCAGGTTTATGTTTTTGTTTTGTTCTTTTGACTACCTTCCGGATGAATGCTTCTGACCTCGCTGTTGACCGTGAGACACACGCAGGCTCTCGCTTCCCTTCATTCTTCTTTGGGCACCAGGTCTCTCTGTGCTTCAGTGGCGACGGAAATCCCTCCTCGGAACACATCCTGTCAAAGACAAAGACCCAAAACATCCCAAACTGGAAGTGGGACTAGACGCTTGTTTCTTAACTGCCTATGTTAATCAAAATTTACACATTGTGATAGCACACGTCTTGTTAGCCATGGAGCCATGGCAGGGAAGGGAGTCTACTGCTCTGTGGTTAAGATAAAAATGTCCTGATTGGACTTCACATCTCTGACTGGAGGCCAAACCATGATCCACCTCTAGTTTTTTAAGGTGTCCAAATGAATGTATCAAAAAGCTGGTTCAGTTGCTGAGAGGACAACATCAGTTGTTGGACAACGATGTTCCTTGCTCTACACAATCCTTGCTCAGCTCCCTTGCCGAAGCCTCAGGGAGCTTACCTTCCTTTTCTTTTGGAAGGAGGGAAGTGAGGATCCATGATTTGCAATGTTGCAATGTTTTACAAATGGAAATTCCAAGATGGACTAAATGACAGGCTTTGCCAAACCGAATCTAAATCTTATAATGGAGGGACAGCAGATTAATCAAATATTAGGGACTATGGAGTTTTCCAGATCTGGTTCAGCCTCTGATATCACCTTAGAGAGTCCTTCAATTGCCATGAAGAGCTAACTCAGCTCTCATTCCTAGCATCAGACTTGTTGATTGATTTCTAAGGATTGAGACACTCGTGGAGAAACTGATTCAGCTGAGCATCCAATATAGCCATGATTCACAAATCTGAGTGGCGGTTTCTTGAGGGTACTAGAATGTACCCCTTCACCTTTTGTCTTTATAGTACTCCCAGGGTTTTTGCCTTCATGTTATCTTTCTCAAGATGATTTAGTCTTGATAGCGCCACCAGAAACAAGAGTGGTTCACGATATCCAAGTCCACATCCATTCTATTGTGGGAGGCATTTTGGTGAAGGATCAGCTTCTACTTGCCTTTGACAGTTTCATTAATGCTTAAACCTGACACAGGTATTCCCACTCATAAGGAGGGAAGTAGGAAGAACTGAAATTTTTCTGTTCAAAAATCTGGAAAGAACTGGACAAAACCTGTTCCCAGTAGGCTTCCCAGTAGGCCCTTTAAATTGTTTGATTGTTTACTTCTAAAAGTAGAACATGACAGCTTGGGGTACAAAAGGTATGTCAGCAGCCCTTCATGCCAAAGCTTTGAGCATCACAAAAGCTTGGGAAGCCAGGGAGGGAGGGAGGAAGGAAGGAAGGAAGAAATAAAAGCCAACAGAAAGTCAAAACAATGAAAAGTCAATGTCAGCAGTTCCTGTATGAGCAGGAATCAGACCTTTAGTTTACTGCCAGAAGGGGAATGTGGTCTTGGAGCCACTTAGTCACCAACTCCAAGCATCCTCTTTACCTGAGCATTGTGTGGATATATCTAAGGATCAGAATCTCTTAGTTAGTCTCCTCCCACTTAGTTAAGACTTGGCTGGAGAGCAACATTGCATTAATCCTTTTTTCTTTTTTCTTTTTTTAGATGAGAAAACAAAACACAACATTGGCTGTTTAAAGAGTCTGTAAAGATGCTGTGAAATCAATGTTTATAGCAGCACAATTCACAGTAGCTAAACTGTGGAACCAACCTAGATGCCCTTCAATAGATGAATGGATAAAAAATGTGGCATATATACACAATGGAATATTACTCAGCAATAAAAGAGAATAAATCATGGCATTTACAGGTAAATGGATGGAGTTAGAGAAGATAATGCTAAGTGAAGTTAGCCAATCCCCCCAAAACAAATGTTGAATGTTTTCTCTGATATAAGGAGACTGATTCATAGTGGGGAAGAGAGGGGGAGCATGGGAGGAATAGACAAAGTCTAGATAGGGCAGAGGGGTGGGAGGGGAAGGGAGGGGGCATGGGGTTAGAAAGGATGGTGGAATGTGATGGACATTATTATCCAAAGTACACGTAGGAAGACACAAATTGGTGTGAATATACTTTGTATACAACCAGAGATATGAAAAATTGTGCTCTATATGTGTAATATTAATTGTAATGCATTCCACTATCATATATAAACAATTTAATTTAAAAAATAAATAAAAAAGATGCTGTGTAACATTAAAAATTAAATTACATAAATATGGATAATAAGAAGATACATTTGTACGGGTTTTTTCAGAAGACCTCAGGCTTGGGTTAGACTTCACTCTTTTGATCCTCATAACGGTTATGCAAGGCAGATGAAACAGACAGCTTTTATTAATCTCATTATGGAATCAAACAAAGGCTCCACAGGGTGTCCAGGATGACAGATCTTCCTGCTTCAACTCTGTGGCTCTCTGCAAGCCCTCAGCCGTGGCAGAAGAGAAGAAGGAAGACGCTCTGAATCAAGAATTCAGAGAAAGAGGATGAGACGTTGGCTATTGTGAGGTCTTAAATCAAGGGTCAATACCCTCGATGCAACTCCGAATTGTACCGGCCTCGCTATCCAAGGGACAAGTACAAAATGAGGCTGGTCGAGGAGGGTTAAGATGGAAAGGAGATTATCAGGATAATCTGAGGATTCCCAAGGAATTTGTGAGGCTGCATCCTGTGGTGCTAGGGCTTGGGTGAAGGGTCCAAAACTGCTTCCATGTGTCTTTGATGGTTTTATCGAACTAGTGAGTGAAGAGAGCCTTAAACCCAGGTTTTTCTAGATTCCTTAGTTCAATGCTCTTTCTACTTCAGTAAACAAAACAACATGTGCGCATTATGACAACTGTGAACCACAGCAAAGTAAAACCATGAATCAGCCAGAGTCCAGTTCTGTGTGTACCTGACCCAAATCACCCAAATATGCTTGTAAAAAAAAGGCCAGAAACGTTGGAAATATCTGCATGGTGTGCCTGAGCCCCCTAGGATGAAGAGTCTCTGGTTGGGGGAATGGTCTGTTTCTTCTATGAAGAGAGAAGTGAAAGTGACGATCCCCTGCCTGTTGGAGCCCAAACACAGCTTCCCCCAGGCAAACCCCACCATCTTTCTTCACCACTGAGCAGGGGTTCTCATGTGTCTTCCCCAGAACAGGATGAGTTCCTGGAGATACTAACAGGAGTTGTCCAAAGGAAGACTTGGAGCCAGACTTGGTGCTGGGTTAAACGAAGGGTCACCAGGTGTTTTACTCCAGACCATTCAGAGCTTTCTTCGGATCAGGGTGAACTATGCTCTTCCAGGAGGAAGATTCAGGATGTAGGGATCTCCAGGATCCCCGCCCACGGGACTCCTGCCCTATGAGAAGGGTGTTTCCTAGAGTACATTTTGTGTGTCACATGATTCAGATCTTTTTTCTCCTGCATTCAAGTAAGGAAAGAAAATGGAGTCCCATTGTTTTTCTAAAATTGGTCTAAACCTCCACTTCAGACCCTGTCTTATTGCATGGGAGGTGGGAGCAAAACTGATCACAATTAGTTAGGTCTAGTGTGATTAGATCCAGTCATTTAGTCAGTCTTTTTATATCTTTCAGGAGAAATACTCTTCTTATGCTTCTGCTCCTCCAAGGGATGTATCTTAAATACCTGTGCTGGAGGGAAAGGAATTCTAACATAGATGTGAGGGCTGTTGGTTCCTGGCTGAATTTATTACATGGATTTTGACAAAAGGATACTCTCTGACATGAATTTAGTTCATATATACTTTTTAAAAATTTTAAAAACAAAACTTTTTATTATAAATACTCAAAATTAGATTTATAGATTTATAGTTTTAATGATTTATCTGTTCAGTTCAGTGGCATGAAACACATCACATTTTTGGGCAACCATTGCCACCATCTATCTTCAAAATATTTTCAGATTTGCAAAGGAACACTCTGTTCTCATTAAATAACTCCCAACTCCTCCCTCCCCTATCTCCCGGCAACCACCCTTCTACTCCAAGATGACTACTGGACTTGGTTTCTCTTTCACTTAATAAAAGAGGCTCCACTGCTGACCAAGGGGCTTGCTTCCACACCTGCAGGTCTTCTTGCACATAGATGATTAGAGTTTATTGTGGAGAAAGGTAACTGAAAATGGGGTTGGAGAAAGAAAAAAAAAGTGGTGACAAACTGGATGGAGGCCTCCTATCCAGGGGTCTCAGCAGTCTTGCTATGGAGCCTCTTTAGCATCAAGAAGTTCATCTTTTGAGCCATTTCCATGTTGCAGATATGCCGGTGAGTTTCCCACTGTCTCTAGTGGCAAGGCTTCTTAGTGTCTTTTTTTAAAATTATTATTCTTTTTACATATACATGATAGTAGAATGTAATTTGACATATTATACATACATAGAGTATAACTTCCCATTCTTTTTTTTTTTTTCTTTGTGGTGCTGGGCCTTGTGCATGCAAGGTAAGCACTCTATCAACTGAGCTATATCCCCAGCTCCCAGCCCCATAACTTCCTATTCTTATGATTGAAAATGACATGGAGATTCATTAGTCATGTATTCATATATGAACATAGGAAAGTTATGTCCAATTCATTCTAGGGTCTTTCCTATTCCCATCTCCCCTCACTTCCCTTCATTCCCCTTTGTATAATCCAACTTCTATTCTCTCCTCCCCCTTATTGTGTGTTATTAGCATCCGCATATCACAGAGAACATTTGTCCTTTGGTTTAGGGGGATTGGCTTATTTCACTTAGCATGGTAGTTTCCAGTTCCATCCATTTACCGACAAATGCCATAATTTCATTCTTCTCTATGGCTGAGTAATATACCATCATGTATATATGCCACATTTTCTTTATCCATTTATCTGTTGAGGGGCCTTCAGGTTGGTTCCATAGCTTAGCTATTGTGAATTGAGCTGCTATAAACAGTGACATGGGCATAGTACTGTAGTATGCTAATTTTCTATGTTGATTTTTGGGTATATGCCAAGAAGTGGGATAACCAGATCAAGTGGTTATTCCATTCCAAGTTTTCCAAGGAATCTCCATACTGCTTTCCAGAGTGGTTATACAAATTTGTAGTCCCGCCAGCAAAGTATCTCCTGGTGTGTTTTTTAAAATATGTTTTTAGTTGTCAATGGACTTTAATTATTTATATGTGGTGTTGAGAATCTAACCCAGTGCCTCACACAAGTTAGGCAAGCACTCTACCACTAAGCCACAATCCCAGCCCTCTCATAGTGTTTTAATTGCTTAATGTCCTCAGTGAGCCTGCTTAGGGTGAGGATACTGTTTAGGGTCCTGTATGCACCTTTCATGCTACCTTCCTACACCATTCCAGTCCTGGTATGACCTTGGATTCAAGTCTTCGCTCTGCAGGACTCTGCACTCTCAGGACTTGTCTGAGCCACCTTTATAGAAATAATTAATATACTATAAAATTCATCTATTTAAAGTGTACAACTCACATAGTTATGAAACCATAAAATTTATTCAATACTTGAATATTTTCATCACCCTAAGAAGAAACCCTATATCCATTAGTAGTCATTCCCAATTCCCCCCTCACATCAGTCTCTGTTTTCTGTTCTCTTGGGTATATACCTAGAAGTGGAATTTCTAAGTCATATGGTAACTCTACGTTTAACACTTTGAGGATATATAAAAATGCTTCCCAAAGTGGTTGAACCATTTTGTAATTCTTTTTTTAAAATTTTTAAAAAACATTTATTATATTTTAGGTGTAGATGGACACAACACAATGCTTTTATTTTTATGTGGTGCTGAGGATCGAACCCAGGTCCTGCATGTGCTAGGGGAGTGCTCTACCACTGAAGCACAATCCCGGCCCTGCAATTCTTTACTGAAATAAATATGTAAGTTCTATGTAAGAGACAGAAATGGGTTCTACTGCTTCTTAGATATTAGCTAGCTTTTCTAGTTAGATTGAAATTCCCCCAATTTTATTCCTTAGAGCTAAGACATTGAGTGCCTTACGTTAAAAATACACTCATCTGATAGAAATAAAATATGGAGCCATTTCCAGTTTGAACATGTTTATCAGCTGGAGATAAGTGAATGGAATAGGGGTCAGGTAAATTCTGACAGGGAAGAATGGTCAGGAAAGGTCCAGGAGGTCTAGACTTGCTGGGGAAAGGTTGGCTTCAGAATAGATAAGAGTGGCAAAGGAAGAGAGGAGCAATAATCTAGAGAAGACTGTTCTGGAGAAAGTTATGCAAGAGAGTGCTGGACACATCTAACAATTTTTCCAGGATTGATACTCTTTTCTTTGTTAGAATAGAGTTAAATATGTATCCAAATGAAACCAGTCCTCTATGTGTGTGTGTGTGTGTGTGTGCACACGCACCCAGCGCGTGCATGCACATGCAGGTGTGTGCCTGCGTGTTAGTGGGGAGCCAAGGGCTCCCACAGCTACACAAGCACTATACCAATGAGCTATGCCCCCAGACCACAATCCTAATTTACTGCAATTTTTGAAAAAGAGTAAACCCAATGGTATAGAGATACATGTTTAACAACTGACTGGAGGAAGGGCGCTATTTGTAGATTTGCTGATTTGTGTGGTGTAATTCCCCTTATCAGGCCCAACATCAAGCTCTTGGAGTGATGCTGTGGAACATGCCCTTGGGAAGAGTGATGCATAACTGGCTACCTCTAGGAAGTGGAGCTGCTTCTAGCCTAGCACTAGTGCAAGTCAAGGATCCAACCATCAGATGGGATCAGAGTGTGGCAGCTTATGCCAAGTTGGAAGGGCAAGACCAAGGGGTGCAAGAGGGAGGTAGAAGGAAAGGCCAATCACAGATGAGAAGACTAACTTGGCAAAGAAAGCCATGTGTACCCAGGGCTGGTCACCCACAGGTTCTGTAGATTGAAGCTTGGTGCAGCTCTGAGTTTTTCTTTTATAATGCAAACAGCCTTCAGGAACCTACTCCAAAGGCTGCTCCCAAGGTTCTGTTGCACTAAGATAATAGTGTGGGTCAGCCAGGATAAACTTTCTGCTGCTGTGAAGCACTGGATGAGGCTTGTCTGGACAGTCCTGACCTTCCAGAGGCGGAAGTGAAATCAAAGGGACAGGATAAATGGAGGCTTTTCCTTCTCTTTGGTGTGAGCCTACCTGGTATGAGAATAGTTTCCACCAAGAATTAGTTGCTTAGAGAAGAAGGTTCCGAGCAAATCTGGACCAGGTGTTCGCTCCATTTAGTCCCAGAGTCAAGAAAATCTATTTTCTGGGCACTGAAAAGAAGAAAGAGGAGAATTCTATTTAACGATCATCTTTTGAATTGTTTATTCTCATCCAAAAAATTAGGTTTTGTCTGTCTGTCCAAGCATCACTGGGCAATTGAAACTCATATCTGTAAGGAATTTCAGGATGATCTTGAGTCAAGGTACCCAGTGGGGAATTTTAAAGATAGATAACTTGTATGAAATCATGGGGCTGGGGTTGTGGCTCAGCGGTACAGCACTTGCGTCGCATGCATGAGGCCCTGGGTTTGATCCTCAGCACCACATAAAAATAAATAAATAAAAGTGAAGATATTTAAAAAAAAAAACTCTATTTGTTAAAAAGAAAGAAAGAAAGAAAGAAAGAAAAAGAAATCAAAGCCTTACCTTCACTAAGGTCTACAGACACTCGACACAGGCTGTAGAAAATGAGAAATTCAGTCCTTCAATCAGGAGAAGCAAGCACAAGGCCAAAGCATGTCAAATAACAAAGCTGATGAATTTTTTCACAGAATTGAGGAGTGTTTTGGCAGAATTGTCCTGGTTGCTTAGGTGATGTGTAGACACAGTTTTCTGCTAACTTGATGGGATGATGATTATCCTTTTTTTTTCTTCCCACCTGCTAGATCCCAGGGGGAAAGAAATCTGTGCATTCTAATCTTTTCTTTACCAATAAAATAAAACCAAGGAGCTAATTTTAATAAATTATGAACATTCACTTATCCTCATGGGGAGAAGAGAAAGGTGGATTCTTTCTTCCAGAGAAGTCTCTTGATCCATCCAATCTATTAAAGAATAATTGAACCAGCAACAATCACTTCCATGAAGTATCTACTAATTACACTGCTCTATAAACAGTCTCTGCATTCAGAAGTGCCAGTGGCTAAAAATGGATCATTACATCACCAAGGGCGTTGTTAGAATTTCAACTACTCCCAGATTCAAAGGATCTAACCCTGAAAAATAGCTGATGCTTTGGTTTTCCTTTCCCAACAGTGCCCCAAATCTTACCTTGTACATTCTGAAACCTTTGCTTTACTCCAAATTCAAGTTCTTTGTCTTCTCCTGTGTTATGAAACTTGTAAGGGATCCCAAAATACACCATTTCTCTTAAATGATTCACACATTCTTTATCTTATTCAGCAAACTTCCAGACAGCTGACAGAACAAGCCCCCATAAACCAAGCCTGATATAGTCCATTCAAGACTCCATTTTTATCTTTCAAAAGAGGGAACTGGCTTATGTATGCATTAGGATTACGTTCAGCTGGAATAGAGACTGAAATATCAGTGGTGTAAATTAAGCAGAGATTATTTCAATCTCCCATAAGTGAAGCCTAGTAGTTAAGGGTGCAGGGCTAGTGCAGTAATGCCATGATCACCAAGAACCCAGGTTCCTTCCTTCTTGTTGCTCTGCCATTCTCCATACATGTCTTCCATCTCTCGGTCTAAGACAGTGCTTTAGCTCAAGAGATTGGGTCAACATTTCTGCCATCAGTCAAAAAGAACTTGTGGCCTCTTTGAAATGGGACCACCAGAGGCCACACTCAACACTCCTACTTCTATCCACTCCAGTGGATTATAATCCACTGGATAGCTGCAAGAGAGTCTGGGATATGAGATATATATATCTATTCACCTGCTAAAAATCATGGATTTTCTTACCATGGAGCAAAAAAAAAAAAAAAAAATAGAACAGATATTGGCAGGAGCTGACTGTCACTACCACAAATTAGATTTCATTTTTAAATTGTGTCCTTAATATTCTAGGGTTTTAGTGTGTCATAAGGGGGTATTATGGATTTGGGTTGGGGAGAAGATGAAAATAAATGTACATAGGATTTCAGAAAACTTCTCAAAATCAAAGCATCTGGACCCACTTTTGAGATAAAATTGTGTCAGAACATTTCTGATAGGTGATTGTGGTCTGGATTTGGAGCTGCTGGAAGGGTGACTCCAAGGCCCCAGGAGTAGGAGTTCATCAATGGAGCCTTGGACTAGTCAAGAAGAGATTAGAATCTTGAACAAGGTACCAATTCTGGAAAATGACACACTGTGCTAGAGTTAGGCATGCTTTTGACATTTACATCATATGACACTGACTAAAGAAAGAGCAACTGACTGCTGGGGCCTAAAATGGGACTGAGAAGATGCTCTATTCTCTCTCACAGGATTGTGAGCCAGGTGGTAGAGTTTCTCAACCTTGGTACCATTGACACTCTGTGCCAGATCATTCTTCGTTGTGTACAACTGTAATGTGCATTGCAAGTGAATATCAGCATCCCTGGCCTCCACCCCCCAGATACCAATAGTATCTCTTCATTTGTGAAAAATGACAATGCCTCTAGACATTGCCAAATGTGCTCTGGGTTAGGATCTACATAATGGTTCTCTTTTTTGAAACTTGTTAATGGGTGTACAATTAGGTACCAAGCCTTTCATAACTTAGATGGGCTCCATATCAAAGACTTTAACATGTTCATGAACTTGAGTAAATAATCAATCCCACTTCTTTAGACTCTGGCCTGGGAAACAATTTGTAAGAGACTTTCTGCCCGAAGAGGTTCATTGTAAAATGGTTTTTAATAGAGAAAAATTGAAAAACAAGATTTTTCTGAAAAAACAGAATATGTTGAATGATGGAGAAATAGGTAAGCCCACTAAAACGTGCTTATGTGTCCATAACAACTTGGGGAGATACGATGTAATGATAAGTGAGCAAACAAAAAACTATGTAGAGAAAAGGACAAGAAGGAAATGAACTAAAATGGAAGGCTCTGGGGAATATGATGAGAAGTGATTTTTTTTTCTCCTTCTCCCTCCCCATTTTTTTGGGGTTGTTGTTTTCAAACTTTATGAGCTCAATATGAATGACTTGATATTAAACTGCAAAACAAAACTTCAAAATATTATTAAAAATACATTCCAGTGCTCAAGAGAGGAAAGCTATATGATCACAGTCCTTGTGAGCAGTGTCAGTCCCTGAGGATGCTCAGAGTTTTAAGAGCATTTCGATAAATTCCTGCTGTGGGGAGAGAGGCAGACACGGAGGTTCCTTTTTGCACAGATTGCCTTGCTTGGTGTCAAGAGATCCAGTCACTCAGGCCGCCATCTTTTTTCTTCTTCTTCTCTCTTTTTAGTAGTACTAGGGATTGAACCTAGGGCCTTGTGCCTGCACCATAAGCACTCTACCAACTGAGCTGTATCCCAACCCAAGAGCTACCATCTTTTGAACCAGGAAACCCTTTCAAGGAAAAGGCTCTGATAGGCAGGGTGGAAAGAAGCCCAATCCCCTGTGGGAGGGCTTTACTAAGGCACTATCAATTAGGAGCCTTTGATTCTGGAGGGCAACAAACCCAGGCCGATCAGAGGAGACTATGTAAAAAACTTCCTAAGGACAGGCTGCAATCACATAGGCCTCTAATCCCAGCAGCTCAGGAGACTGAGGCAGGGGACTCACAAGTTCAAACTGAGCCTTAGCAAGGGGCAGACACCCAGCAAGTCAGTGAGACCCTGTGTCTAAATAAAATACAAAATAGGGCTGGGGATGTGGCTGGTTGAGTGCCCCTGAGTTCAAGGTAGCCTGTCACATTTGCAAATCCCTAAGGAAGTAGCTCTGCCATCTTTGAGAAGTCAAAAAGGAGAACTAGGCCATCAAACAAGTGGGGATCTCCAAGAGGGGAAGATCTGCTTCTCCAGGAAGCTTCAGCAGAGTGTTTCAGTGCATCTCCTCTCTACTTGAATGTCTCTGAAGGTGCTTCCACAGATAGGTGGGGAAACCTGTTAAAATTCAGGACTTCAATTCCTTCTCTAGCTCTCTCATTTAATCGTCTTGGGGGAGTCGATGGCTCAGGAATTTGTATTTAATTCTGGTAATCCTGAGTCATAATCTAGTTTTGTATCCATTGTTTTAGACACCACTGAAATAACTCACGCTCTAACTCTGAAATAACTCATAACAACAGGGGGGAGTTCCTAAAAAATTAAATGTAGAATTAACCATGTGACCCAGCAACTCCACTTTTCAGAAGAATCGAAAAATAGAGTCTTCTATCTGAACACTTATATTCATAGCAGCATTATTCACAATAACCAGGAAGTGGAAGCAACTCAGGCGATCATCAACAGATGAATAAATAAATGAAATGTGGCATATATTTATACATATACAGCCTTAAGAAGGAAGGAAATTCTGACATATGCTATGTGTATGACTCTTAAGGACATTATATTAAGTGAAATAAACCAGTCACAAAAAAAGATAATTATTGTATGGTTCCATGTATGTGAGGTATCTAGAATAGGCAAATTCACAGAGACAACAAAAAACAGAATGGTGGGCCAGGGACTGGAAGGATGGAGGAATGGAGAGTTATTTTAGTGGGTATGGAGTTTCAGCTGGGGAAGATGAACCTTCCAGAGATGGATTCTGGTAATGGTTATGCAACAATGTGGACATACATTCCACTGAACTGTTTATGTAAAATAGTTAAAATGGTGAATTTTATGTTGTATACCTACATATTTTCCCACACATAGCCAAGTACCATCAGTAATTACCAAAACAACCATGAGATTCTTTCTGGCAAAGAAGTAAGTTGCATCATAGAAATTATAGCCACTGAAATAACTTTTGGGGGGAATGCAAAACACAGAGACAAAATCTTTAGAAAGTAAAATCGGTACAAAAACAAGCTTCTTTCTTTCTTTTTTTTTTCCATATCAGGATTAATCTTCATAAAATAAACAGTGAAAAACAGGAAATGGAGACTAAAATAAATCTGTTTAAGGGAAAAAAAAATCATTCCTTAAACTTTACAAGTAGGTCCTTCTGGATCTTTAAATGTGTCTCTGAGTGTTTGTGGTTTAAAGACTTTTAAATACTATCCCATCTCTCCACTTCTGGCAATGAGTTTCCTTCCTATCTTATAAAAATACTTTTATTTGATGGCCAAATAGATTTGGTGACTCTGGTGGGTAGCCCCGCAGGGCCCTATTCCAGCTGTTAAAGTGGAGACAGGGCAGGAAGCTTGCGAGACAGTGTCTTAGAAGATACTGTGAGTTGTGGGAGGCGTTTATTAGGGGATTTGCAAAGGTGACAGGCTAACTTTAATGATATTGCCAATTATCATTTTCACGGAGGGTGAAACAAAAAAAGATCAACTTTAAATATAACATGTGTTATGTTTAGATTAGGCTAAAATGTAAAACCTTACTGGCTTACACAATGCAGAAGCTTATCTTTTCTTCATGTAGAAGAATGCAGAGGTAGAGAGTCCTGGACTGGTGTGGAGTCTATGAAGTTGTTGGGGACCAGGGCTGCTTCTGTCTTGTTGCTCTGCCATCCTCAGTTGGTGGTTCCATGTGATAATTTGACTATCGAAGCTTCAGCCATCAAGTCTATATTCTGGGGAAGAGCAGAGGGTGATGAGGCCAGCTCCTTCCAATAGCAGAAGTTACACAAGACATTCTCATTTATTTCATAGTAGCCAGAAAAGTCACTAAACTACAAGAGAAGCTAGCAAACGGGTCTTCATTCCAAGGAGCCGTTTGCCTAGCTAAGAAAAAGAAAGCCAATATTGGAGTAGCTGATTAGCAGTCTTTGCTCCTGGGAAGTTAGGGAAGAAGAAAGGAGGACCCTGTTAGTTCTGTAGCCCAGGTATTGCAAACCTTTTACCTGAGACTGTTCTAGACTCTCTGACCTCATCATCTTATTTAATACTTACAGCTTTCCTGGCTTTGTGTTATCATTTCCACTTGACAGACAAAGGTCCTGGGATTCCAAGAGTTGTCATTTTAT